TGACAGACCTTTCCAGGCACACCGCAAATCGTCACCATCAACGAACATCTATGTAACTAGCTACCTAGCCTGGCAACCGGGCCGATTTCAAAGCAGCTCAACTACTCCCTTTTACCCGAGTCCACTACTCGACTAAGGGAGTGGGGGACTCGTGATGGGATAATGGGCCAGGCCCAGTGCCATCGGCCCGTTATCCCCAGGCTTAGGCCCAGGACGCAGTCTCACGAGCGGGAGTCACCCCTTGCTCATTACTTATTTATCGGACCGGTTCGCCCATTAGCTTGGAGATGTATTATTAATTTGGGCCAAGCCCACGTAGATTAGACTTTGGACTTATGATGGATGCCTATAAATAGGCCATCAACCCTCCATGTATTCTCTACGCTATTGGACTATACTGAAATGCTGCTAGTTTCTCTACCCGGGTTATTTTCTACCAACACTTAATATGAGACTACGACTCTAGTAGCTAGTGTTAGATTTCAATTTACTTTTAAATTCATCTATAAGGTTTCATAATACTATAATATTTTATATTTCAGGCATTTGGATTCACTTTTATTGATTATTTGAGTTTTCAAAGATCTCTTAAATTTCAGATTTCAGAATTTAGATTACGTATAACTTTCTCATCCAAATTTCAATTTCAGTTTACTTTCAAATTTCTGTACTAAGCTTCGTATTACTATTAAGTTTCAACATTTAGGTTCATTTGCATTGTGAATTTCAGTTTTCAAATTACTCTAAAGTTTCATATTTCAACATTTAGATTACTGTTAACTTTCTTATTTACAAACAAACACACATAATACAATAAGAATTGATCTTAATACTATCCACAATACAATATGATTTAATCTAGCTAATCATTTATTACTATCCATTTGTTCAACTTCTGTTAAATCATTTGTAGTCTTCAACTTCTACCATATACATTTGTTATAACAGCTCACAAATTATGAATGCATTTTCAATTTATGATTTGATTTTTATTTGCAAAAAAATCATTTTCAAAACTAAATTTTCACCTTACATTAATAATAATGTTGTTTTTTACAAATTAGATAGATAAAACATGGGTAGGTCTACCATCACAAGCTAGTGTGGAATACATTAATGGGGTCAACCAATTTCTAGATTTTGCTTTCGCTAGATCTGCTGAAAATGAGAATATTCGATGTCCTTGAATTAGATGTGTCAACACACATAGTGTCCAGGGATATAGCATTCGATCACTTAATATGTGATGGCTTCCTGGAGGGATATACTAGATGGGCTTTTCACGGTGAGGTGTTCGAGGAAACTACTTCTTCCACAAATATCGAGATAGAAAATGTGCTAGGTGATGAGATACACGAGTTGTTGCATGATATGATTCCCAACATTGAAATGAATGTTGACTTTGAAGGAGTAAATTCTAGAAATGATGGTGACAACCATTCTTCTGGTTACAAAATTGATAGTGACAAGTTTTACACTTTACTCAAAGATGCAGATGTGGAGTTATACCCAAATTGCAAGCAATTTTCAAAGTTATCATTTGTCATCCATTTGTTTCACATTAAGTGTTTTAATGGATGGTCTAATAACTCCATGAATATGTTGTTGAAGATTCTAAAACTTGGTCTTCCAGAAGGAAGTATGTTGCCATAATCCTATTGTGAAATGAGAAAGATGATTAGTGCTTTGAACTTGGGATATGAAAAAATCCATGCATGTCCCAATAATTGCATTTTGTACTGGAAGGATAAGACAAAATTTGCCATAAGTGTGGTGCTTCTAGGTGTAAAGAAGGTGTAATTGAGGGTGAAGATACTTTTGTGAAAAGGAAGAAAAAAGCTGCAAAAAAATTGCGGTGGTTTTCTTTGATTTCGAGACTCCAAATGTTGTTTATGTCATCTAAAACAACACTTTCAATGAGATGGCATGAAGAGGAACGTACTAGAGATGGACGAAAAAGGCATCCTGGAGATTCTATCGCTTGGAAACACCTTGATTCTCTCTACCCACAATTCGCTTCTGATGCACGTAATGTTTGTCTGGGAGTGGCTTCTGATGGTTTTAATCCCTTCAAATCCATTGATATAAACCATAACACTTGGCCTGTTGTACTCATTCCTTATAACCTTCCTTCATGAATGTGCATGAGACACTCCAATTTCATAATATCTTTACTTATTCCTGGTCCAAAAAGCCCCGGGAATGATTTGGATGTGTTAATGCAACCTTTAATTGATGAATTGCAAGAGCTTTGGCAAGTTGGTGTGGAGACATATGATGTGTCTCTGAAACAAAAGTTTAACATGCGTGGAGCTTTGCTTTGGACTGTTAATGACTTTCCAGCGTATGCTATGTTGTCTGGATGGGTACAAAGGGAAAGTATGCATGTCCTTGTTGTGGATATGATACTAAATCTAAGTGGTTAAAAATGGCGGAAAGTTTTGCTACATTGGACACCATAGGTGGTTGGAAAGTAACCATCACTTTCGGAAGGATAAACACTCCTTTGATGGGAATTCTGAGTATAGAGCAGCACCCTTACCACCATCAGACAATAAAGTTTTGAGACAATTAAAAGACTTGGATGTTGATGTAGGTGGACCATGGAAGAAGAAAAGTTGTTTATTCACATTACCATACTGGAATGATCTTCTTATATGCCACAACCTCGATGTGACGCACATTGAGAAAAATGTGTGTGATAACATTTTTGGTACATTAATAGGGCAAGACAATTATAAGGCACGCCTTGATCTAGTGGACATGGGTATAAGAAGCATTCTTCACCCAAAAACTCGGCCCAGAGGGGATACAAAGTATTAACCTCAAGCATCTTATGAAATGACTATGGGTGGAAAAAATGCTTTCTTGAAGATTCTCAAGGAAATGAGGACTCGAAATGAATACTCTTGCAATATCTCTCGTTGTGTGCAGATTAATTGTCATATTTTAATGCAAGAGTTTCTTCCAATGGCAATACGGTGGTGCTTACCGGAAAAAGTGTGTTCTGTTCTCATTGACTTGTGTAACTTTTTCCAATTCATTTCTTGAAAACTTTTAGAACAAGACACCCTTGAAGTAATGGAGTCTCGCATTGCTTTGATCCTTTGTGAAACGGTTTCTCCATTGTTAATAAAATATAAAAACTTTCAGTCTTATGTGGGTAATAGAGCTTATCCAGAGGGTTCTATTGCTGAAGGGTTTTTGGCAAATGAATGTTTAATTTTTTGCTCAAGATACTTGGAGGGGGTTGAAACAAGTTTCAATCCATCTCGTCAGAATGATGAAGGCGAATTCTCATTCGATGGAGATGTATCAATTTTTCATCATGTTGCAAGACCACTTGGAACAACAAAAAACAAAGGATTCAATGTTAACAAGCAAAAGAGAGTATCACGTGTTGAACTTGACAAGCTATCTGTGACGCAAGCACATAGATATGTGTTTTTTAATCATGAAACGGTTTCTCCATTTTTAATGTATGAACTTGAAACCTTAATACAATATTAGCGTTTTTATATTTTATTTCTAAGTATGAGGATTTTTTTATAGAAAAAATGTTGAACATCTTCGGAGACAACATCGTTCTCCTCGTCTTCTTATGAGTTGCAAAAGTTGCATAGTGAAACTTTTCATATATGGTTTCATGACCATGTAAGTGAAATGTTACTTAATAATTATGACGTGCAAAAATTCATAAGCATTTAAGTACTTGACTTATACAGATTATGAAATTATGTAGGTCGCGAATTCAGAAAACCAAGGAGACGCACTTGTCACGGATGAACTTAGATTTCTTGCACGTGGTCCTCTTGATAAGGCAAGTAGATTCAATGGTTATGTTGTAAATGGACTCCAGTTCCACACTAAAGCATGCGAGAAATGGTTAAAAACTCAAAATAGTGGGATTGTAGTAACCTCTAGATTGACAAGTTATGCAAGTTCAAGAGATGCAAGACCCATTGAAGGAGAGGTCAATTATTATGGGGCATTAACTGACATCATTCAGTTGAACTATTCTGGAAAATTTAAGGTTGTATTGTTTAAATGTGATTGAGTTGATCTAAACAAAGGTTGCAAAAGAGATAAATTTAGTTTTAGGGAGTGTTTGCAACTGCTTCTGCTTAAAAAAAAGCACTTCTGGAGATGTAAGGAAAAAGTGATTAGTAGTAAAAGTTGATAGTGTTTGAGAAAAAAGTGATTTTGAAAAGTAAAAGTTGGTAGTGTTTGGTAAAATAAGTGCTTTTTGTGTAATAGAAAAGGGAAAAGCACTTTTCACACGCAAGCCGAAAAAAAGTAAAAATTGGTAGTGTTTGGTAAACAAGTGCTTTTTAAAGCCAAAAGCTGAGAAGTGCTTTTTTTTAAGCGGTTGCAAACACTCCCTTAGACTAGTCAATTTTTCACACCTTACGCATACTGGAAAAAGTTTGGTTGATGATCCTTTTATATTTGCTACACAAGCAAAAAAGGTTTACTATGTGGAGGATGATAGAGATGACGGGTGGCTCTTGCCAAACATGCAAAGCTAAGGGACACTTTTGATATGGGTGATGAATTATCATGTGGAAGTAGAGGTGGAAGAAACAACTCCCAAAATCCAAATCTTGAAAATGATGATCCAAGTAATCCTTCACTTTGGATTAGAGATGAGTATAATGAGGGAGTGGAAGTGACACCAAAGATGGAAAATGAGCTTGTGGAAGAGGATCCATTGTTGATGAATATTTTGATGAGGATATGTTTTAACATATATTTAAATATTTTGTTTTTGTATATGTTTAATAATAATAATAATACTTTGAAGTGAAGTTTGTTACAAATAAATTATTGATTCCTAGTGTTCTCTTTCTCCATCTCATTAATAAGGTAAATACATGGACTTAACATCTAACACACACAGACACACAGATACACACGCACGCACGCACGCACGCACACACACACACATATAAAGAGCTACATGTTACTAATTTATATACTTGTCAAATTCATTTTATAAGGTTGGAAATGACACACAAACGGCTAAGAACCACCAAGACAGTACGTGCCTCAAGTTGTCAATCGAATTCAGGGCCTCCACAACACATTCAAAATAAGGAACAATCAATTTCTCACTTCCAAAATAAGGAACAACCAGTTTCATCACTGAATAATGTTCATCCTCTCAATGAAGAAGTGGAGCAAGTCACCGGTATATTCTCTAACTTATTTGGGGCAACATTTTAGAATGCAATCAAACCAAAATAGTTTAACTGAGATATCAGTTAGCTATACATGTTATTTTTAATTGATTGAACTTTTATATTTTGGCTAAATCTATAGAGTTTACCAATTTTGACTAAATTAATAAAAGACAACAATTTAACATGGTATTATTGAACTTGTGCACTGCACCAGAGCATATAAAAACTTCAAAACAAAACAAAATGCTTCTTCATCTCTCCTTTTCCCAATATCTCTGATTAATCATTGATGTGCATTTTTATGGAACTCGCTCAAACTATGCAGTTATATTCCTAATATGTGTGTTTTGAAGAATTTTGAACTGAAGGTCAACCTTGACAATTTATCACATTTATGAACACATTTTAAGAAAATGTTAACCCTGTCCATTTAGTTAATGGTAGACACATTGCATGACTACCCTCAAATGTGACTATCAACACAAATACTACACGGTTGGATAAAAAATGCGATATCAATGTTTAGAGTTCCTTTCTATGTACTTACGCTTGAGTATAAAAATAGAGTAGGGTACATCATATGTTCTTCATTCTCATTACTATTTGTATGATTTATTTCAGTCATGTGGTCTTACATTTTATTTTATTTAGTTCCACCAAAGGCTAAAAAGCTTCAAGGTTACACACGTATAGCTGAGATATGGGATTTGAACAAAGAGGAACAAGTGATAGTTGACGTGAATGCTCACCATATACCAATAGGTGATTCAGCTGCAAAGCTAACAAGATTCATTGGTACCATGGTTAGAATGTTTGATTTTGCTCCCTTGAATTACACAACTTGGTCTCAACTTCCAATTAGAAAGAAGGAAGAAATGTGGGTGACTGTGAAGGTATATAAAACAATAATGTTTTATATTTGGAGCTTAAATTATAAACTAACTGCCTTTCTTGTGCTCTTAAAGTCTAGGAGAAGTTTCAATTTAAAACATTGGACGGAAAAGTGGTTATAGATGGAGAGCCATTTAAATGTATAAAAGTGTGGGCACTTGGCAACATGAATGCTAAGTGGAGGTACTGGAAATGGAAGAAAATGATTTATGTGAGTATATCAACTTACTTTATTCTTGTTGAAATTTGTTTGAACTGTTTGTATTTCGTATTGTGACACTGTTAACATGCTAATATTCCTGCAGAAATGTCCCCTTTGATCAAGGGACATTCCAGTTCTTGCACAAAAATTGTTTGAGCAGGTAATGTTGACATTGTTTACTAAACTATCAATGTTAAGACTTTTCTGTTATAGAATAAAATTTTAGTCACATGAGAATCACAATATTGATGCTAAAACCTATAGACTATTCACTGATCAGTGATCAACTTTAGTTAAACAACAATGAAGGTGGGCAGGGTTCATCAATTTGTTGTGGGTCTATTAAATTTGCTTTTCACCATTATTTAGAAAGATGACATGATTGTCAGACTAAAATGGCTTACTATGTTGAAATTGTGGCAGGAACTACATAATGTAGTGAGTTATCTACAAGTCAAACTTTGTTGTCAAACTCTGTTACATCATTAAAAATGATGTAACCGTATTTATCATTTGTTTGTGAAACATTGAAACTTGTTTCTTTTCCTTCATTTCTTTATTTGTATTCCTTATTTTATGGTGATGTTTTTTTTTGATGAAATTTATGTTAATGTTTAGATTCATTTTTTGTTTTTATTGGAAGATCTCTCTAACAGTTTAATATGCTATTGATAATTTTTTTCCAGGTATTATACTTCTTAGCAAAAGAAAACGTAACATCTTTTGGACAACAAGTTGAACTTTGGATTTGTCATTCAAATCAATTATTAGATGAAATTTGGATTTATTAATATTTAGTAATGAAGCTTATTTTGGTTATTACTACTGGATGATTATTATATTTGTTACATATGAATGTAAAGACTTTACATATAAAGACTTTTACTAGAAATTTGGATTTATAACTTTGGATTTGTTACTACTTGGTGATTATTATCAAGTTTATAAAAGACTTTCATTAGAAATTTGAATGCTTTTGAAGTGTATTTTTTTATTTGACATCAAATTGGAATTATATCTTTGAATTGCTCTATTACATATAATAGAGCAATACCAACGGTCTATGAAACGTTGCTATAGCAACAAGCTAAATATTATTAGTTCAGGTCTATACAAATGGTAAACGTAATTACTAATGCACACTACTTTGTTGGTATAAGTTTAAGAGCTATTCCAACGATACGAAAAGATGTTGGTGTTGATCTATACCTACGAAACGTATACTAACAATGAAAATTTTGTCGGAATAGCATGTAATTTTGTTGGTATATCCAAATGACATCTACACCAACGGTTTATGTATTTATACCAACGGTATTTCTACCGTTGGTAAGTGGCAGTTTGTTTGTAGTGGGATATTGATAACCGCTTTCGCGGCGTTGTAGTAAAACGGAGTCTAACCTTTCAGTTTTTCCCCGAGTATCGTGTCTCTCGAGGAATGGCGGAGGAGCTTCTTGATTTCAAGTCCAGTCACAGGTTATCGCAAATTATTGGAAGCTTTCCAAATTAAAATTTTTGATTGATTTTCTAAACTACTTTTTGGAAAAGAAAGTAAATTAAATTGTGCAAATACTAATGATGGCTCAAAAATAGACTAAAGGAAAAAATATAATATTAAACTTAAATGGATTGGTGCAAATAAGGGCAATGAATTGAGTAATTAGAAATGGATATATTCTTGAACCTAGTAATTAGGGAAATTAAAACTAAAATTGGACTAATAATTTCTTTCCTCATAGACAAGAATAGAAACTATTTTCATTAATTTATCCTATTTCTAGGTGTCATTAATGTGTTCAAAAATGGTTGGCTTGAATTAAATTCTAACCTCATAGACAAGGTAGAAATAATTCTCCAATATTTTAATTAATAAAAATAGCCGAATTCATTAACTAGTTAAACTCATTATTTAAGCAATTGAATTTATCTCTCATAGACAAGATGTAAATCCCTTTCATTAAATTATCCTATTTCTAGGCCTTATTAATGTGCTTGAATATGGTTGGCTTAAATTATTTTCTAATCTCATAGACAAGTTAGAAATAATTTTCCAAGAATTTAATTAATGAATATGGCTAACAATTATTAATTACTATTTCATCATTTCAAACAACTAGTCCAAATTATTAATTTTAATCCCTAATTTTCGGTCAACAAGTCAATCCATATTCCTTTAGTCAATTCATGCCCAAAACAAATTTAGCTAATAAACATCATTTTTTCATTTAACAATACAATGAATAAATTCAACATTAACAAGGAATTAAGCATGTATAATAGCAAAAATTAAACAAAAATAGTATTCTTCCAAAATAAACTTGTAGAACTAAAATATCACCTTCTGGAATTTTTCCCGAATTTTATAACCTAAAATCCAATTTTAACAACTAATTGATAATTTTCCCAATATTAACTAGAAAATACAAAAAAAGCAACTACAAATATTCTAAATTCGTTCTAAATTTTATATTGAATACTAGGAGTGATATTACTGTGAATTTAACTGGAATTAGGACAGAAACTAATTTTTTTCCTTTTTTGAGTATTTAATTTAATTTACGCAATAATAACAACTAAATGCCAGAATTAATTAAAATTTACTTCTACTTCATAAAAATTAACTTTGTTTTGATAAATAACTACCTTGAGGCTAGTAAACAACTATATAATTAATTGGAATGGATTTAATGTCAACAACTATTTTATTCAAATTTAAGACGAAAATGCGAAATAGTTGAATAATTTTCTGGAAATTTTAGAAGCACAGATAAAAAAAACTAAGTACAGATTCAGATTCTACTCATTGAAAGGATGAAAATACATATAAAGAACTCACAATTTGGAGCTAAAATGAGAAAGATATGAAAGATTGAAGTTGAAGGTGCAACAATGGTGGAAATCCGAGCTTTGAGGAGGAAGAAGACGCCCTTTTTTATCTGATTTGGGCTTGAAAATTGGTGTATTGAGTTGGGGATGGAAGAGGGCTTTTATAGCCGGAGATTATTGGAAGGCGGCCAAGAAGGCGGCCGCCCTCCGGCCATGGCCGGCAGCCTTCGGTCATTTCTCCGACAAAGCTTCGTGCACGGGTCAATTCCGCCGCAGGCGTCCACGGTAGGCGGCCGCCCTCCTTGGCCGCCTCCCGTCTTGTCTCAGCTACCGGCAGCTCGTAAATCACATCCCACCGCAGGCGGCCACAGAGGGCGGCCGCCCTCCGGCCCCCGTCGGCAGCCTTCCATCATTTTGTCGCCATGCAAAGTGTTAAGTGCTGAAACTGTCAAAAACTCGTAGGCGCCCGGAAAGGCGGCCGCCTGCTCCACCGCCTTACGTCAAATGGAAAAGTTGTCTTCATCAAAGTTGTAGCTCTCTTTCTTGGCTAACTACTGGAATTTGAATCGCATTCATTGGATTTGTAGTTTATGAGATATGGTCAAAACGGTGACCACATGTCACTTTCCATCGCAACTGCAAATGTCTGACTTCTTTGAGCAATATGTCCATTCTACGGTGGTTATTTGGCTCTGTGTTCTTCATAAGAGTTGTAGATCAGGAAGATATCAATGTAATGAAACTCGTATCACGAACGTTGGACAATTATGCGCAAAGTTATGATCACAATACGAACATGTGTCTCTATGCATCGTCCATTTTCATCAAAAGTAGCCATATATGTGACTCCTTCGTGGTTTTGAACTTCCTTGCATGATTTCTTCATCACTTGGACTTTTTTCATTGAACAATTGGTCAATATATCTTGCAAACTTCCGTATCAATTCATTTGTTGGCAAAAAGTGCCACTTTCTTCACGCAATTGACCCGAAATTTCACAAAACATGTTATGAATGCGATTTTTACCCGATTTCATGAAACTTGAACCAAAATATATAAAATGTGCCTTGTTTTTCTATTTTTCAATCCAGAATTGCTTAAATTTGATAAGAAAAATAAGTACATAAATGGACTTATCAATCTCCTCACACTTAAGCGTTGCTTGTCCTCAAGCGACGAATCAGTTGTAAACACACTCAAAAGGTAAAGTCTAACTGTATTACAATCTAGTTGCTATTTTAAAGAAGTAGAAACAAAAACCTCTTATTTTTATTCTCAATCTTTAAACATTCTAGAAAAATCACCCAAAATACAAGAATTTAAAATTAGTATTACTTAAGAAAAACTATTTATGTTAAACCACCAATCAATTCCTTATCCCAAGGTTTTCATTATTCTAATTTGGACATTCATCTTGTTCACCATTTTTTTTTATTATTTTATTTTATTTTATATATTTTTTTTTTTGCTCTTTTTCACTCTTGTTGGCGGTGTTATCCCATGGTAAATGCATATTTCATTCTCACAGACTGTGATTAACGAATGAAACAGAGCCCCTTTTCGGAGATGGAATTGTCCTATAACAATGAGTTTTGAAGAGGTTTATTAATAGTAACATTTTTTTTTTGAATAAAATGAATGTCCAATTAAAACAAATTCAGGCCTTTACATTCACAACCAAAAACCCATAACAAATTTAAGTTTTCTAAAAATAATAATAATAGTAAATTCTTACAATAAGGGTGATTTTCTAAACTATTTTGTGATTGATAACAAATTGAGAAATTAATGTTTCATATCAAAAATAGTAAAAAGATTGTTCTAAAGCAAGGTTTTAACTTTTTTTGAGTGTAAAACGCAACCTCCTCACACTTGAGCTAGACCTCGCCCTCGAGGTCTTCTTTTAAGGCACAAAACCTTGAAATAAAGACACATTTTTTTTTTGGTTCTTTCCTCACACTTGAGTTTTGAAAAGATTTTGTGAAGAGGAATAATGAAACAGGGATAAAAAAAATCTTTACATCATTCATAGTCAGTTTGTAAGAGCATTTAAGTCAAAAGAGCAGCACAATGTCCAACCCGTGTCCTCCCGTAAGGTCTAAGTCAATCTCATATCTCATCAACATTGAAGCACACCCTGCAAACACACAAAACAAACAAACAATGTTATGAAAAACATGGGTTGCCTCCCAAGAAGCGCTTCTTTAACGTCACTAGCTTGACGTTTGAGAGAGAACTCTCAGCTATGCATGTCGGTTGTGGAGCACTCATCATTCGTGCCTCCACCTTATCCTCTACGTATGCCGTCAGATGGCGTAGACCCTTGAACTCTTGTGACCACCAAAATGTGATATAATCTTCAAAGAACACATCGTTCGAACAAGGAATTAGCACATATCCTGCATCACTCTCATTAGTATAATCAACAAGTATTTCAGGATCAGGTGCCTCTGGTGTCTCCAACCGCTCATAATGAGCTTTCAAGGTGGAAGCAGCTTGAATAGAGATTGCATACTCCTCTTGATGGGTTTTCTCTTCTTCATCTATGCCCTCAACATCACAAAGTTTAGACTCTGTGTCACTCTCTAAGACTGCATCCCAACTTCCTAACTCACGACCCCCACAAATATCATCTAGGCAAACAAGTCTTTGCCTAGCACAACTATGCTCAACATGCTCAAGTAGAGAATCAAAGAAGGCATCATCGGACATTGTTTCCTTCACATCACAAGTTTCATCAACTATTTCAACAGGTGCTTGAGCTTGTGTAGGATCAAAATCTTCACCAAGGCTATCTTTGTGACACTCCTTAAATGAGAGGTCAACCATAGATGGTAGGGTAGGTTCCTTGTCACAAAGTATCTCATCATCTATGGTTTCTTCATCAACCTCATTGGGCACTTTCATATGGGGCTCTTGAGAATTAAGTTCTACGAGGATAGGCTCTCTCTCAATAGCAATGAGAGGCTCAAAAGAAATAGGGGTGAGAAGAGTTTCAACCATCTCGCCCATGGTTACCGCAACCTCCTCCTCAGATTTAGCACCTTCTTCGTATGTCTCCTGTTGAACTTTGTGGGCATTGTCATAAATGATTTTTTCAAACAATTCCTTGATACTCTCATCATGAGATGCTAGTTCAATC